TGATTATACAGTCATATATTATATGATTATAGTAACAATATGATTATATTGTCACTGCTATCTGCTGTTGTTTTGCTAATTTTCATTTCTTCAATAAATTTACAATGCAAGAAACTTGTACAGCCCTGTATAAAGATTTTTTTCTGTGTCATTAATTTTTTGCTTTTTAATGATATAAGTTATCTTCTAAATTGGACCAATTGTTTTTTGGATTTAGGTTTAAATCATTTGAAATCAAAATTTAGTAATCTAATAATTTGAATAAAAATGTTTTTAAATTCATAAATAATGTTTACAAAATATCTGTAGAATAAAGTTATCTTCCAAATTCTTCTGATAGATTTATGTTTTCTTTACATATTTTGTGTATAATTTATTCCAAAAATCTAGCTCCATCATAATCTATCTTAATATCCAAATTATACAGGAATATTTCTTTACAGTCTAATTTAAGTCTATTATTACTACTACTACAGTATGCTAAAAAGTAATTTGTAATTATGTCAGTACTATTTTATATGCCATCATTTACATCCATGCAAAATTTACCATTATAAAGGGGACATAGACTACCCATATACACCTTTTAAAATAAAGGAGTGTTTCTACATTCTTGAAATTGTGTTGGTGATTATTTTTGTCGTTTTGAACACCATATAGCATAGATACACGAACACTAGGCAATCTTCATTTTAAATTTATTCAATTTTTAGTTGATACATGTACCTGTTTATTTGTACACGTTTCAGGCTTATGTATACCTGTATATAGTTTTAGTTGGCTGAGGAGGGCTCCTCAGCCAACTAAAACTATATACAGGTATACCTCACCTTATGTCGGTAATTGGTTCCAGGAGAGGCAACGTAAGTCGAAAAACGACATAAGTTGAATTTACTTATCTCCAAATCTACTTGTCACTAAGCTAAAACATAAATTACCATTCCTGGTTCTGTATTTTATTTATTAATTCATTTTTAATAATATATCGTTAATAAGGATCTATTTTAAGCTTACAAACAAATAAATTTTAGTTTTTAATATAGTACAGAAAAAAGTAATCTAAATTTACGAATGCATGTACTGTAAATACATGTAGTAGAAAGGGGGTAGAGGGCTGTCCACAATTAGCGTTGGACTTATGCCCTGTATGAAGTAGGAAAGAAGAAGTTAGTAAAGTCAGAAAAAGCAGGAAGAGGAAACAAAGAAAGATAGGACAGTGTGAAGAAAAGGTAACCAGGGGGCCCCCATGGGACCCCACGAGCGCCAGCATCAATTTTATTAAACAGAAATTCAAAATACAAAACAGATTAACAATTATGTACAAAAAACACTGTCGGTTGCAGTGTTAATCATTGCTCTTGCAATGAAACAATACAAAATAAGTAGTATTATACAATGATAAGTAATTGAAGACCGAGTAAACTTGAATACAGTCAGTTTGTTTGTCTGGTAAACTTCTGTAGTTCTTTAATATAGCATGGACATCCCTTGTCCATAGTATTATGATGATAATCCGTTGTGTTGTTGCTTATACAGTTTGCACATCTAGCTGTTTCAGTTTTGTTACAGTCTTTATAAAGATGGTTTACACTGCAATGGCTGCAGACTTGGTTTTGCTGTTTGCATTCCTTTGCGTAGTGACCAAACGCTAGGCATTTGTAACATCTTCGTATAAACACGTAATCAAAGACTAGACACCTGGTCCAACCTATATTTAATTGTTCGTACTGTAAATACAGTACATACTTGTAAATGTATATATTTTAATATGATTTTATGTGCTTTAAATGCTTTTCTAGTGATATTACGACTTCAATATTTGTGGCGGACACAGAGGTAAAGTCGAATAAAATGACTTAAACTTGATTTTTATTTTTCCATATACTTTTTTGACAAACGACGTATAATCAGGAATGACGTAAGTTGGGGTATACCTGTAATACATACGAATTACAATATAAATATACATATATAAAAAATTTTTACACATATAAAAACTCTTTACATATATAAATGAAATTTTTACATAAAAATTGTTTTCTAATCATTACAGAACGCTCCTTAAGATTACTTTTTCCGAAGGACTTTAAGAAAAATTCCAAAAATGCTCAAGGACCTTCCACAATTTCTCATAACTGATGATCAGTTTTAATTTTTTCTACTTATTCAATAGAGTAATTATTAGTTTCCTTGTTAATCAAAAACTTTCTTTAAACATATACGAAATGTACCTTCACGTTTTTCATGGTTTTTGCTGTTGCTCATTCAAAAGGTACAGTACTTTTACAATTCATGTAACTTATGAAGACTGTGTGCCAAAGTATTTCTTGGTAACTAAACTATTATTCACTAGCATATATTCTTTACATAATTCCTTTGATTATTCTGACATTATAGAAGTACTAACATACAGTTATTTCAGTTTTCAGTTATTTTTATTGTAAAATACCAAAAGGTACATTCCCGGTACCATAGGTACACAACCGGGCAGACGGATTTCTCAAATACCCTTTTCTTCAATACGGTCTCATTGTTTATAACCTTACTAATTTCCATATTTTTACATGGTGGAAACACACTTCGTGGCTAATTTAGTTGAGTTATTATTTTGTCTTTAGAAATTCTTTTTACAATATTTCAAGCCAATTTTAGAAATTCTTTTTGTTAATAAATTTAATTTACAATATTTTAAGCCAATTTTCATTTATTTTTACATTTAGGTTCTTATTTATGCATTTTTTGTTTTTAAGAATCTCCACACTTTCTTTGAATTTGTGATTATATGTTGTTATTTCTCTATGAAGAATTTGTATGCCATTTTTATCAATGTTGCAATCATTTAATGTACAGTGGTTATGGAAAACAGAGTTGATTCTATGATATTTGAGGTCTGCAATATGTTCTTTCAATCTGACTGCCATTTTGACAGGTACAGTACATGTATCAACTAAAAATTGAATAAATTTAAAATGAAGATTGCCTAGTGTTTGTGTATCTACACTATACGGTGTTCAAAATGACAAAAATTTCATCAAAAATCTTAAAAATTTTGATAAGTAAATCATTTATGCCGTATTGAATAGTAACATTTTTAATTTCTAGTTCTGGCTGGAAATGAGATATCTAGATCAAAAGTTGAATTTTTTTTAAATGGAACATGATGCTTTAATTTAGATTCAGATTAGACAAAAAAAAAAAAGATTATTTTGTCTCAGCTTTTTTCTGGAAACTTTGCCATTGACCATGAAATGATCTAAAGTATGATGAATGCCTTATTACAAGCAATTTTGCTGTGATATTTTTTTAGTTAGCTGAGTATTCAGTATCAACAAATTTAAACATTACAATTATGTTGTATTTTCATTCAAATAAGTTTTCATTTTCAGTTACACACCTATCAAAACATGTCATTATGACATGTTTTGAGCACTTTGATTGAACAGTAGTTAAAATCATCGCCAAATAGATTGTTACTACTGATATATTGTATTTTTGTTCATCAAAAACACTGTGTAGCAGCAATTTTAACGAATTGTTAAAACTGCTGCTATACAGTGTTTTTGATGAACAAAAATACAATATACAAACTGCTGCTATGAAGTTTTGTTAAAATAAAACTCAACGTCAATTACATGTGATTTTCATGCCAACATTTTTATTGTTTTGTCTACATCAACAGTATGTCAATAAAAACATTTTGTAACACAAGTTATTTTCTTATTTTTACAGTATCATTTTTCTCCATGCATCATTTTCACGATCATCTCATGGTCAATGGAGATGTTTTCAGATAAATGTTTGGAACAAATTTATTATTACTATTTTATTTATTCAAATCTACATTAAAAAATATTAAGTTTTGTTTTAAAACATTTGATTTTCAGTCTGATAACCATTTCCAGTCAGTACTGGAAGTTGAAAATATTACCATACCCAATTGAATTATCAAAATTTTTAGAATTTTTGATGAAACTCACTTCCCTTCATTTTAAAAGTGGTCTATGAGTGGTCACTCTGTATAAGCAAGTTGAGACAGATTGGTTTTACGATCTAGATAATTTAACTGGAATAGTATTTCAGTAGAGCACAGATTCTCAAACTTGTTTTGACCACTGCCTACTTTGAGATTAAAAAAAATTCTAGTGCCCCCATATTTTTTAACTTACCTTTTACATTACCATCTGTTGCATATCTTAAAAACAGTTATTGCAATATAATATAATGTTAAAAAAAATATAATGTTTAAACATGTATTATTATATGGATAGGATAGATAGGGTATGACCCATATCCTATTTTTGAGATCAAATAACGTTTCAATGAGAAGAAATAAAACTCATATTTAATCACTGAGCCTTCTACTGCCCCCCTAAAAACCTCCAGCACCCACAAGGAGGCATTATTGCCCACTTTGAGAAAGGATGCAGTAGAGCATTGATTATCCGAATATTGATCAACCAAAACGTCAATTAACCGAAAGCTTTCCAGTCAGAAATTTAAATTTCTGCTAGTGCTGTGGCACTGCAATCTTTGGCTATGTCTTGGGCTACTACAATAATAATTTTGTTGGAGTGCGTGTTTTAGCTGGCAGCACTGGCACAACCATGAAAGGGTACTTAAGGATGTGCCAGGATTTGAACGAATTTCAACATGGGATAGGTTAATATATTTTTTCATACATAATTGGTTATCCAAAAAATTGATTTTCCGAACAACCCCAGTCTCCAATTGATTCGGATAATTGATGCTCTACTGTATATTTATATTCCTTTTTTATATTTAGGCTAAGCTACAATATTCACTGAGTAAAAATATAAGTTATCATTTTAAGAAATTTATGATATTTGATTTACATGTTTAGAATATTGATTTTGGTTTGTGGTTATGTTCTAAAAATATCAATGTTATAAGAATTTTTAACATTGTTTTATAAATATTTTAATAGTTATCTTTAATTTTTTTTTTTACATTTTTCACATAATAAAAATTATTTTCAATAGAATTGTGCCTGTCACAGCTCATGCTGCATTTGAAAAGGTAAAAATTTGAAAGAATTCAATATAAATTTATAATAAACAAATGCAATTGTTAAAATTTTTGCTTACATATAGGCTGCTCATTATTTAAAAATAAGAATAAAGAAGATTCCAATGAATTTGGAAACAATGCAAGTTGACACAAAAGCAATGAAGAAAGCTATCACCAAAAATACTTGTCTTGTAAGTTTATCAAAATAATTAAATATTAGTTATATAGACATTTATTATAATAACTATATTTACATGGATAACTTCTTACTTATAACTCACATAACATATACAAAATACTATAAGTGTAAGCATATATTCAGGATGGACTATTTTAATCAATCCACTAAAACTACCTGAAAAATACATATTCTACATAAATTTATTGAACCTAAAATGTGACTTCCAAAGGGCCACAAGATAGGGCTATCAGTTTTATCATAGATGGTGCTACAATCAGTGAAAACAGGATCAACTTCATTTTCTTACATGGAAATTGCCATTTTTTTGCATATGTTTATACATCAAAAACAAACTCTTATCGAAAACATTATCAGAAGTTATACATGTTTGAACTTCATGCAGCTATCACATCACATGTCAGAATATTTGTGGCTATCTGTGAAATGCATTGAAAAGAAAGGAAGAAAAATTGTAAAAATGTCATTATGAAACTATTATTATTTGGTGGAATCATTTTTTTTTTCTTTCAAATAATGAATTTATATAAATAGGCATTCAAAATTGTTAATGGTTACCTAATAGGTCAATATTTTTTTCATGGAAATATAAACAGACAAAACTTTCTGGAGGGTATGAGAAATGAAGTACTAAGTTTGCTTGAAGATGGTGATTGCATTACAAAGCAAAATAATATGGATTTAGTTAAAGGATATTGAAAATAATTTTTGAATGCTTGATTTATGAATAAATAGTTGTTACTTTGCTGAACTTCAAAAATTCCTCTTTTGAAGAAATTTACTAAAGGTAAATTGGTAATTGTCTTATACATAAATATGACTGAAAGTAACTTCAAAAAGCACTTCTGTGATGAAATAAAGCTGTTGCTATAGCATGCAAAGTATTGGATTAAAAGAGTATCATTAGAAGACAGACAAGACTATGAAAATGAAGAAATAAAGTTGTTGGTCAAAACATTTTCAGTGAATGTTGATGGGTAGATAGAGGAATACAAATGCTCCTATTATTACTTTAAGTTGAATAGCAAGGTTCCTGTTGCATGTCTCTCTTTTATTCTTAAAGATCTCTCAAACAATGACATTTGTGATGCACTTACTATCTTTTGGAGACTTTCACAAATAATTTTACGTTGTCTTTTTAGAACTGCAAAAGTGAAAAGATCCTTCTCAAAAATGAACAGTGTGTTCAACAGACTAAGACAATGATTCAGAACACTTAAATGAATTCATACCTAAAAGTACAGAAGATCCTGCTAAGCTGAGTGACACTGATGCATCAGAAATTATGTATTATCCTTGGACATATTGTACCATATATTCAGCTTCCAATAGAAACATAGTCTGATTCAAGCATTATGGTTAAGTGTTACATGGGTTTTTATTTGTCTTTAGCAAACAAATGTTAATTTGTCCTCAATGTGTGCTATGCATGTAAACCCACAAATGAAATATAGAGCCTTAAAGTAGAGTATTAGTAATACAGTCTATGAATCCTTAATAAAACCATTCATATAGAACTTGCAGTTGTATGTTTAGATCCTTTAGGGCAGTGTTTTTCAACCTTCTTGAATATGCGACCCCTTTACAAGTTAAAAAATTCTGGCAACCCCCAGGGTCATATTAAAACTATGTCAGTGATTTTAAAAACTACTGTACATATTTAATTTTCTTTCTGTTGAGATTTAAATATAGATAAAAAAAACCAGTTGTACTGTAAAATAAACAGGCACAGCCTTCTCACTGAAATTGTAGTTTTTTATTATTGTAACGTAGGACCTACAAATGCTTGTCTTTTTCTTTTTCCTGTGACCCCATGTGTATGACTTTGCAATCCCCCTGGGGGTCACAACCCGCAGGTTGAAAACCACTGCTTTAGGGAACCAATGCTATATTGTTTATGAAACAGTTTTAAATTTTCACTTGTAGAAGACCTCTGCCTTCTTCCTCATCCCACCTTCCATTTAAATCAAATCTCTCCCAGATCTTGGAGTTTAATAAAGCAGTGCTTGTCATTGGTTTGTCCAAACCTACAATGTAAATAGCTTTATGATGATAATACATTCAATGTATTTGGAGTAACTCATCCATAAAAATTTGCATGAAATTACTTGAACTTGTGTTCCAGCAAAAGCTTGTGCCTCATCCATTTCATCCATTAACTATCAAGGTTTATCTGTTTAATTAACACATTTTTTGTCTTTTAAAATATTTATGAATTGGAAAATAAGTAGATTATTATTGTTCTTTAGTGTATAAAGATGACTTAATTTTATATTACAAGATTTGTTAATCCTGTCATATCAGGAAATTCAGAACAGTGTATACTTGTGTCATTTTGACATAATTTTCAATCTGCTATGTATAAAAACTTTAGAGTCAAATTTACATTACTTTACACTTTCCTGACAAAATGAACAAATATTTATAATTTAGCACCATGGTTTCTAATTAGATGAGGGCATCCAGAAAATAAAGAATGTTTGCATGTAGCACTCTGCACATGTGAATGACTACTGTCAATTCTAGGTCAATTTGTTCTCTGTTAGATTAACATGCATAGAGTTTTGATAATGGCTTGCTTATTGTTACTGTTTTGTCAAGGGTTAAAACATACAAAAATCCTACAAAGTGCAAAGTGTTATTCATTTTCTAAATACAAACTATAGAAATTCACTAACAAATCACTGAAGTATATGGTGATCACCTTATGAGTGAAGCAAATGTGAGAAAATGATGATTAATGTTTAATCAAGGCAGATAATGTATGACTGAACTCTGCTACAGCCAGTCAAGCTGTGCTTCAGAAATTTGGCTGGGATGTTTTCGAACACCCACCATGCAATCCCAACCTGGCTCTCAGTGACTTTTATCTCTTTCCCAATCTGAAAAAGAGTTTTTGGGTGGCAAACATTGTGGAATGGATGACAAGGTGAAAGAACTGGCAGTGGAAGTCAATGAGGAAAGAATTCAAAAACTAGTGCTATGCTACAACAAATGCATAACTCATAATGTGACTATGTAGAAAAATAACTGGTCTTGTACTAATAAAACTTTTTTCTATCATTACGGTTTTTTTTCTTTCTTATAACCAAACATTCTTTATTTTTTGGATGCCCTTTGTATCATTTTGTAAGACAGATTTCTGTAATTTGTAAAACCTACTTTATATAAAAATTTCATGTAATATGTAATATACCATATTTCATGAATAAAAAAATGTATCTATTAAATACATTTATTCAATAAATTATTGTTATAAAGGATAGAATAAAAAAATATGTCTAATTTAATTTTAAAATTAAACTTTTGTAACCTTTCTAATTAACTAAATGGTTAATGAATGAAATGTTTTTATTTTTATTTTTATAGCTGGTTGGATCATCACCACCTTTTCCTCATGGTATATTGGACCCTATAGAAGAAATTGCTAAAGTAAATTTTTTTCATTTTTTGTTTTTTAGCATATAGTTTTTAATTTTGTAATTTTTAAATTGTCTGTTAACATATTTTAACATATTCAATACAATAAACAATCAAAAATGTCATTGTAGTTTTTACATCTTGTATAGCCATATGACACTATCATCAATTGTTGCAGTTAGGAATGAAATACAACATCCCCGTTCATGTCGATGCCTGTCTGGGTGGCTTTCTACTTCCATTCATGAAAAAAGCAGGATTTGATATTCCAATATGCGATTTCAGACTTTCTGGCGTTACCAGTATTTCAGCTGACATGCACAAGGTAAATTTTATTTTTTATAAATATAACATTTGAATGTCATAATACTTTAAACAGATCTTGAAAAGAAGTGTTGTAGAAAGAGCATATTTATTGATTTTAAATTTAAACCTTATTAGGATCACTTTATTAAAAATACTATGAAAAGAAAAATTATTTGTAATAAATTAGATGAAAGAGTTAACAAATCATTTATAAATATCTGAATTAAAAATTATCATATTTATATAATGTTAAAGAATGAAATCTGAAAATGGAAAAAATTATTATAGAATTTAAAAAATTATTTTTAAATACAAGTACACTATCAAATTTCCTACACCCTTCGTTCCAAATTCTTACCAGATTAACCATTTTGCCAGACCAACCATGGTCATATATAATAATAATTCATCAACACACTTCTAACCCACTAATTATATACCTATATATAGTATACTTAAAGTATGCCATAGACTGCTAGAAACTTAAATAAAATAAATAAATAAATGAAATTCATAATTCATGTACATTTAATACATTAGTGAAACAAGATGATTAAACAAAAAAATAATTGATGAACCAATTCCATAAATGTTACACTGCTTACACACCAAAATATCACAATTTATATATATATATATATATTACATTTT